CCCCCCCCCCCCCCACACACACACACACACACCTACAGACACAAAGGGACTCTTACCGGTAATATCTGATCCTATTTACCTTATGACATGCACCACTACACAGACTAGGTGATCTAACAAACTTTTGGATTTTCATTATCTATAGCTTACTATACAATGCGTTTGCATATTAATACGAAGTTACACTCGACGGACACAGATTACTGCCATAACGGTTTAACTTCATAAACACGAGTGTGATAGCGCACCCTTCCGTGAATGTGCTAGTTGTGACTATTATAACGTCATCAACGAAACAGGGGAATACCGAGGACTAAAAATATCCTGGGATTTCCACAACAAAGAGCGCCAGACGCCATTTGTATCTGCGGTAAGTTAGGTTAATTATTCTCCAGGATTGTTGGGTTGGATGTAAAACATTTCTTTTATTTTAGTATTCATGACTTTTCTAACACACAAATACCGTCGTTAACGTGAGGTTACATTTAAACGACCAAAAAAAGACTAAGATACCGGTACAGCAGGTACTTTCACTTTGCACCTACACTGTACGTCTTAGATCGAGGGCTTTTTGCCCATCATTATCCCTCTGCCGTTCTTTACTCATATTTAATACTTTCTATCACTACTGTGCCTCCTTAGATTCTACCATCCAAGAAACGTACCGACTAAAGAAGTCGTTTCGGTCATAGGATAATTGTCTCGTATTCTAGCTATTTTCGAACTACACAAAACCTGTGCAGGAGGGAGGGGGATTCCCCTTAAAATCTCCCCCAGGAACTACTATGATCAGCACAATACCAATATAATTAGGCACATATAAGTACAATGTTTACACTGACTGTACAACATATCACAAGGTTCAAGAGCTGAAAAGTACTGACACCCTTTCAAGTCAGACAAGTGTTTGGATGTAGTCCTTGATGCGCAGAGAACGAATAAGTAGAGTTTGAACTGTACTAATTATTGATCTAAACTAAGACTGCGTTCTTAAAAAACCGATCGTACTAGCTGGATCGATGTAACTCTGGGGTGCTTCTTGCTATTTAGTGCTTTCAGTGCAATTGGGCCAGCTTAATTGTATTATGAGAGACTTATTACAGGTCATCTCGCGTACGCAGAAAATCGGGGAGCATTGTTGTGTAATATTTAAGTATAATTTTATTTCCGTCACTCCAGTTCAGCTGTGTGAAACGGTCCTCCGATGTGAAAAGCCGTATCTGTTTCTTCCAATGTTGAGATTTATGAGGAAGTCTAAATATCGAGGGGAGAAATGTGTTTTGGTTAAGTACAGCGGCTGAAAAGCGTGGAGAATCCGCTGTAATGATATTTAAATGTGAAACTATTTCCAGAGATGGTCGGCAAATTTTGGAAATTCACCCCAAATATTAAACCTCTAAACTCATTTGAGAAGAGGTCGTTAGATTGAACACGTTTATTCATACAATTGTTTCTTTTCTCTTTGGACTTCCCATAGACTGTGGGGAAAGGGGATTCCCCTGGAAATTCTCCCAGATATTGTCAAATACCCTTGCACCCGACCAATGCAAAATGCTGTCAGATTATATAAGGCAAACGTGGGCTATAGCACTCCATACTGAAGAATGCCAGGATGAGATTGATCTAGTTCATCTCAATCCAATATCAACAACATGTTGATAAATCTACTATTAACAATGCACTGAATAACAATACTGAGTTGTTGAACAACCGAGCATAATTTAGAAGTTCGTAAAGGTAAAACATTTAAAGTGACATTAAAATGATTGTAAGAATATAGGTAGGGGGTGAAACATATTGCCAGAAGATGAAGAGGTAGCCAATCACACTGTGCTTATTCAAGAAATCAATACGCGTTATGAGGGGTGTACAGAATTATTACATCACAAAAATAGTTATTTTAGGGACATTGTTTTCCAAAACTATCGAACTAGCTAAAAAAAGATAACAAATGGCCAAAAGCATGACATGCAGCAGTATGTTACCTATCAATAAGACGATATATTTAAATAGGTACATCTAATTAAATATAAGATTTCTAATTTATTTCTTATGTAAATAATTTTCTTGTGTTCTTCGGATAATTAAGTCAGCCGCCAAGATGTCTGCAGTGGATCTCTTCAAAGCTGCTAAGAAAGGAGACATGCAGAGGTTAACGAACCTACTGAGAGATGGGACCTTGGATGTGAACAAAATTGACCTGGTGATGAATTCATCTTTCAGTGTCTAATTAAAATGTGAAACTTTTTGACGTCCTCTAGCTAAAACTTTATTGAACCTAAAATAAATAGGACAAAAACAATTGTAGGAACGTAGTGTTTATAATCATGCATTAATTTAATTTATCTCTATTAATAAATATGGTGTGCTTATAAATGTCTTTGTATTAATTAAGGATAATTTTGCTAAGAAAAAGCTGCATATATTTCAAACAAACAGTTAGGAGGTGCCTGTACACCACTACACATGGCTGCACAGCATGGTGCCACACAGTGTGTCCAGCTTCTCCTCCAGCACGGGGCGGATCCCAATATACAGGATTGGGTAAGTATGCGAGTGGGAATGTGCTTGGGGTGTGTGGTCTGTTTTAACTTTACTATTAAAACATTATATCAAACTTTAAAAATATTCTCTGTCCTTCCTACAATAGATAATTACGGACTTAGAAAAACTATTATTATAAAGCTTTATGACCCGTCATAAACACTATCTACAAACAGTGGACTGTATGAAAATAAAAAAAGGGCTAATAAAAAACTAATTATGCATCAAAATTATCACATTTTTTAAACCCACAGAGAGGACGTACACCACTACACTGGGCTGTAGAGCTAGGTGCCACACAGTGTGTCCAGCTTCTCCTCCAGCACGGGGCAGATCCCAATATACAGGATGGGGTAAGTATGCGAGTGGAAATGTGCTTGGGGTGTGTGGTCTGTTTTAACTTTACTATTAAAACATTATATCAAACTTAAAAAACACATTCACTAAGACATTTAGGTTTTGCTGCCAAATCTTACAATTTCCCATCACAAAAGCCAAAATAAATTCAGCAACCTTCCTACAATACATAATTACGGACTTAGAATAGCTATTATTATAAGGCCTAATGACCACTCATGAACACCATTGACAAAGAGTGAACTGTGTCGAAATGAAATATGACTAATCAAAAAAACTATTTATGCATTAAAATTATCACGTTTTTAAAACCCACAGGAAGGAAGCAAACCACTACACATGGCTGCTCGGCAAGATGCCACACAGTGTCTCCAGCTTCTCCTCCAGCACGGGGCAGATCCCAATATACAGAGCAAAAGTATAGGACGGCAAACATTGCTGATGGTGTGTACGCTGTTTAATATTACTATGAATACATTGTATGTTATTTTAAATCATATTTATTGACACGTTTTTATTTTCTTTCTGCCAAATCTTTCACATCGCAAAATATTCCGTATTAAAATCAACAAGTATGGTCTAATGATTCTAACGATCATACACAAACCCTATTGACATAGTAGATTGTTTAATAATATAAGAATAAAGACTAATTATCATAAAATAAAGTCCGGTGTTGCATCAAAATTATCATAATTTTCGAATCCACAGGGCGCAGGTCGACGTTCACCACTACACTGGGCTGCACAGCGAGGTGCCACACAGTGTATCCAGCTTCTCCTCCAGCACGGGGCGGATCCCAATATTCAGGACATTTGGGTAAGTATGCGAGTGGGAATGTGCTTAGGGTGTGTGGTCTGTTTTAACTTTACTATTAAAACATTATATCAAACTTAAGAAAATATTCACTGTGATATTTATTTTGCTGCCAAATCTTACAATTTACCATCACAACAGCAACATACACTCAACGTCCTTCCTACAATTGATAATTACAGACTTAGAAAAGCTATTATTATAAGGCCTTATGACCAGTCATAAACACTATTTACAAACAGTGGACTGTGTTAAAATCAAATATGACTAATTAAAAATAACTAATTATACATCAAGATTATCACATTTTCAAAACCCACAGTGGAGACATACACCACTACAGGATGCTGCAGAACAAGGTGCCACGCAGTGTGTCCAGCTTCTCCTCCAGCACGGGGCGGATTACAATATACAGGATTTGGTAATTATGCGAGTGGAAATGTGCTTGGGGTGTGGGTTAAACTTTACCATTGAAACATTATATCAAACCTTAAAAAACACATTCACTGTGACATTTATTTTGCAGCCGTATTTTACGCTTTCCCATCAGAATAGAAAAACACGGTCAACGTCCTTCCTACAATAGATAATTACGGACTTTGATAAACTATTATTATAAAGCTTAATGACCAGTCATAAACACTACTTACAAACAGTGGACTGTATGAAAATGAAATATGACTAATTAAAAATACTTAATTATGCATCAAAATCATCACGTTTTATAAATCCACAGCATGGACATACACCAATACACGTGGCTGCAGAGCAAGGTGGCACACAGTGTGTCCAGCTTCTCCTCCAGCACGGGGCAAATCCCAATATACAGTGCGAAGGGCTGTCATGTCGTGTACGTTGTTATAACATTACTATCAATACATTGTATTTTACTTTAAATCACATTCATTGACACATCGCAAAATATTCCGGACTTAAATCAATTAGTAAGGTCTAATGATCATACATAAACCTGTTTACATACAGTAGATTGTTAAATTATATAAGAATATAGACTAATTATCAAAAAATAAAGACAGATGTTGCATCAAAATTATCATAATTTTTGAATCCACAGAGTGCACGTGGACGTACACCACTACACTTGGCTGTAAAGCAAGGTGCCACAGAGTGTGTCCAGCTTCTCCTCCAGCACGGGGCAGATCCCAATATACAGGATTGGGTAAGTATGCGAGTGGAAATGTGCTTAGGGTGTATGGTCTGTTTAAACTTTATTATTAAATCATTATATCAAACTTTAAAAAAAAAACACATTTACTGTAACACATAGTTTGCTGCCGTATCCTATCATATCCCATGACAAAAGCAAAAGACATTCAAAGTTGTTCCTACAATCGATAATAAAGGACTTAGAATAGCTACTATTATAATACAATTATAAGGCCTGATGACCACCCATAAATACTACTTACAAAAAGTGGACTGTGTTAAAATAAAATAAAACATAATCACGTTTTTAAAATCCACAGTTAGGATGTACACCACTTTACTTGGCTGCAGAGCAAGGTGCCACACAGTGTGTCCAGCTTCTCCTACAGCACGGGGCGGATCCCAATATACAGTGCGGAGAGAAGAGTTTTTTACTACTGGTGTGTACGCTGTTTTAACATTACTATGAATACATTGTATGTAACTATAAATCACATTTATTTACGCATTTTTTGTTGCCAAATCTTACAATTTCATATCGCAAAATGATCCTGACTAAAATCAATAAGTAAGGTCTAATTGTCATACATAAACCATATTGATATACAGGAAATTGTTAAATTATATGAGAATATAGACGAATGATCATAAAATAAAGACATATTTTGCATTAAAATTATCATAATGTTTGAATCCACAGCCTGCAGGTGGACGCACACCACTACACTTGGCTGCACAGCGAGGTGCCACACAATGTGTCCAGCTTCTCCTCCAACATAAGGCTAATCCCAATAAACAAGATGCGGTAAGTAAGTGAGTCCACATATGCTTGGGGTGTGTGCCTTTTTTTAACTTTAGTATTTAAACATTATATCAATTCAATTTCAATTTCAATGTATTAAACCTTTAAGCCCTACGGCTCATCAGAATATAAAACAGTGAAACTACTGTGAATACAATAATTACTACTGATACATGTATAAACAATAATAATAATAATAATAATAATAATAATAATAATTCATCAGATTGACATTAATCTTAGTCCCGATGCACATTTCAGATATTTTCCCAAATTGTTTAATTGTGATACATTGTTAAGTGATAGTAATTTAATTAATTTTAAGACACTTGGCTTTGTATAATAAAATTTCTTAATATATTTCTGCCTAAACGTATTGTAGTGAGGGCATTTAAGAATAAAATGAAATTCATCCTCTACGTCGTTTAAATTGCATAACTTACAGATTCTTAATTTCCTATTTGTATCTGTATATCGGCCAGTCTCTACAGCTAGATTATGTGATGAAAGCCTAAATTTTGCGATAAATTCCTTACTTTTATGTGAAATTGGCTTATTCAATTAAAATTGCATTGTGAAATTATCGACAAGGTGTTGATACAGAAGCCCTTTACTGGCTGTGAATATTTCTCCTGTCAGTACGTGTCTAAAATGATCCTTCAATCTTTGTTCTATCAAAGACAGTATACAAACATCCGACATGTTTTCATAAAAAGTAAATGACAGACCCATTAATTCAAGGTCATTCCGTATACAATTTATCCACTCAAAATTATTGTTAAGGATATCTTTATAGCATGTTTGTATAATACAGTTCTTTTAAGAGCGGATTTTCAGCCAATATTTAAAAATTCTTAGTTTTCTACTTAAAATAAGTGGATATCGTCCAGTTTCATAATATACTAAGTTATTACTAGTGCTTCTTTTAACACCCAGCATTCTTTTCAAAAAATCAGTATGTACCTTTCTTATATCCTTTGCCTTATCAAATCCCAATATTTCTGATGCGTAATTTAAAATACTACCAACTGACGTACGTATCAAATACTGCACACCTGGTGGACACATTAAAGTTATGGTTTTTTAACATGCTGCTAATAGCAAATAATGCTTTTTTATCCTGTTCTGCTATATGTTTTTGGGTTTGACAAAACTTTCCATTAAAATTAAAAAGTAATCCGAGATAACTAAATTGATTCACCCGTTCTAAGACAACACCGATATATTTTCATTTCTCTTCAGTCCTTATCTTACCCCCATTTCTAAAGACCATTGTTTTTGTTTTTGCTGTATTAACCGTTAAATTCCAATTTTGTGAGTATAAATTCAGGGTATCTAAAAGTTTTTGTAGTCCTTCAGGCGTTTCCGATAGAAGTACAGTATCATCTGCGTACATAAGTAAAAAAAGGTTTATTTCCTGTATTTCAATACTTTCACAATTTTCTGACAAGCAAAAGGTTTCAAAATCATTCACATACAAAGAATAAAGTAACGGGGACATTACCTCTCCTTGTAATAGACCGGTAATTCCCCTATAATTACAAGGATCATCAACATTTCCCTTTTTATGTGAAGGTATAATACAACCCTTACACCAGTTCTCTGGAAAGTGCCCCGAATCAAGTACAGAATTAAACAAAGTTCTTAACGCCGGTAGTAAAACATTTTTACAGTGTATAAAAATTTCATTTATCATACAGTCCTCGGCACAGCTCTTGTTAGCTTTTAATTTTTTAATTGCGCCAATGATCTCATCGTCACTCACGGGACTATCTAATTCATTGAACACTGTCTCGGTGTATAAGCCTACATTGGGGTCTACTTCGCGGATGTCACCATCTATTCCACCAGTCGTCGTGTTCTTAAAATAATCATATCGATAGTAAGCTCCGATTAACGGTTGCATTCTTTTTACGTGAGAACTGCCTATTAAAAACACGCGGATTGTGCTTTCTAGTATATTCTAACAAATCACCTTCGAAGCGACTATATTTTCTTTTTAGCTGTTTGCAAATATTCTTATAACTTGATTTTTTGTCTAAAAGGATTTTATGCTTATGTGGTGTTTTTTCCATATTGAATTCATGTAAAGCGGTCTTATAGTCTTTAAGCTTTTCTTTACAATTTTCATCAAACCGTGGTTTATCCAATTTTCTACTGGCAGTCTGTAAATATCTCTTATCATACTGCTTTTTGGCGGTATGATTATCTACATTGTTTACTTTGCAAAAAGGCAACACAGCATCTCTTAACATGCTACTAAATTCATCTACCCGTTTGTTTAGTTCTACGGGGTCACTTATCTGAGCATCCATTGTATTACACAAACTGTCTATTCGATTCGCTAATGCATCATTTATCGACTTTGCATTGTTTTCTATCCATCTAACCGAAACACTAGTTCTAAGTTCCATGCCTGTCTTACGTTCATCATAATCTAAAAGCGCATTTTGTTTTAAAGGCCCACAAAGCAGGACAAACGTGATTGGTGCATGATCTGAAAAAGTGTTGAATGTGCCTGATGAAAACTTCACAATATTAGTGAATGATTTAGATTCAGCCAGCAAATAGTCTATTATGCTTAGCCCGTTTGAGTTACAAAAGGTAAAACTCCCGGTTACGTCATCTCTATGCCTGCCATTGACTATTCTCATACCCACTGTCTTACAGAAGGAGAGTAATTTGCGCCCAAATAGATTAACCACATTGTCTGCATTTTTCCTCTCACGTAACATGTTATCCATCTTATAAGTCATTACCGGCATTAAAGTGTCACGGATCGTTTTATCTAAACAGTCGTTACTTATAAAGTCATCAACATTGCTAGTCCGTGCATTCAGGTCACCCGTTATAAACACTTCTCCCTCCGTAATATATTTGCTATAAGACTCTTCTAAAGCTTGAAATAAATCAACATGATACGTTTTATAAAATATACTATTTTCTGGCGGAAAGTAACATACTGCTATAAAGATTGGTTTCGAAGGTATAAATGTATTACGTATGGAATCTATTCTTATCCATATAATACTATCATAAATATCACTTACTATGTACATATTTTCTAATTTTATTTTGCGACATTTTGTGACATTTATTTTGCTGCCAAATCTTACAATTTCCCATCACAACAGCAACATATACATATACATTCAACGTCCTTCATACAATTGATAATTACTGACGTAGAATAGCTATTATTATTATGATGATTAATGACCAATCATAAACACTATTAACAAACAGTGAACTATGTGAAAATAATATAATGAAATATGACTAATTAAAATCAACCAATTATACATAAAAATTGTCACGTTTTTAAAACCCACAGAAAGGATGTACACCACTACACTTGGCTGCAGAACATGGTGCTACACAGTGTATCCAGCTTCTCCTCCAGCACGGGGCGGATCCCAACGTATCAGATGGGGTTAGTGTGTTAAAAGACATATACTTGGGCATGTGTCGACTGTAACACAACTTGGCAATAGATCATTTCTCCATTCTTTAATACTCTTTGTTTGATATCTAAATTTGCCGTAAGTAAACAAATGTAAAGCGATATAAATAATCCTAGCTAAAATGTATATACTAATGGATATGCACTGCAGTCCAGACTCAACGTCAGGAAAAGACAAAAGTTGTTATGTAAACAACACGGAATCAGTTATAGGCCTGCCTTTTTATATAATGTTTAAAAGATTGGTCGATTTAGAATTTTTACCCTGACCTTTACTTAATTATTCTAATATTAACTTGATAAACGTGATAAATAGTATCTAAGAAAGATAGATAGATAGATAGATAGATAGATGAAGGATGTATGAATAGACACTCTAGGGTAAGATCAACTTTTTTCTTATTTATAGAGGGAAGTAACCCCGTACACGCTTGCAAAAAAGAAAGGCCTAACTGCGATTGCAGAATACCTGTGTAGAGTTAACAAACCAGGTGTTCAGGTATGCCAGAGTTTTTAGCAAACATTTCTACAGCAACCTTGAATACCCTAAATAAAAATCCTTCTGTCATTTTATTTATTTATTTATTTATTTATTTATTACTGTTATTATTATTATTATTATTATTATTATTATTATTATTTTATTTTTACAAGGTTGCGGTATGTCCTCTTTACAGTTTTTATACAGTAACATGAGGTGTCATTGAAGAAAAACACAGTATATCTCTCAAATCCAGATTTTCTGTTTAATAAAAAAATCTAAAAACTATTCACTTTTTCCCATTAAAGATGCGGCGACTTAAGTATAATTTAAATGATCGCATAATGTATTTATTATCCAGTTTATTGTGTAGGTTTGTAATAATATATTTCCTTCTCTTTTTCCTTTTTTTCGTTCTCTTCATCAGGGCCACCTCCTTAAGAGAGCCTTCCTCAAGCTGTGTGATCACATCAAACTGGACGATTGCCGCATGTTGGCTAGATATCACCTTGGTATAGGAGATATAGAAATAGACGACATTGATATGACACACCAATTCAACCCTTTGGAGCAACGCTTCCAGATCCTTTCTTTGTGGAGAAATAAGAAATCAGAAGCGTCAGTGAAAATGTTGATTGACGCTTTAAAAGCTGCAGAATTAGTTAAGACGGCAGGTAAGTCAAAAATCAACAAAACACACATGATTCTTCAAATATTCATGACAAAAACTCAAAACTGTTTCGATTTACTGGGGGTAAAAATAATGCTTCTGTTTGCTATTTAGGGTGTTTTTCTTCCCACTCTGAAAGGAATCAGATTGGACTCACCTTTGTGTGTGTGTGTGTGTGCCTCTCTGTGTGTGTGTGTGTGTGTGCGTGCCTCTGTGTGTGTATGTGTGTATGCGTCCACAAGGATCAAACCGTACATGGCTTCTTAAAATAATGACCCTGTGTTTCCCACGATTAAAAAATATCACTGAAAAAGTTCCAGCATTTCTTTATTGTCTGAAGTTAGTTTTTTCTCCTTGTAGAAGTCATTGAGCAATACTACGTAGAGGAGCTGCGCAAAGTATATGGAATGTCTGCGGAAGAATACCAGCGTCTTACTGCCATAGATTTGCCAGACATCTGCCCATCTGCCCTGGGTGACATGCGTCCGGTGAAATTGGAGGGTTAAGTCTCTGACAACCTGAAGATCTTGTACGTGAAAGCAAATGGATTTGGGATCCAAAATGGTAAAGAAGACGGAAATGGTGGCAACGGGAAGCTTGAAGCGGTGATGAAATATCGTCACTTTGGAGACGGCATTTTCGAACTCGTCTAATGCATGAAGAATCATGTCATAATGTATAAGTTGTGCTTAAAGCACTGTAAGAACCAAATTGCACTATAAGCACTAAGCACTATAAGAACTAAGTTTTAATAACAATTATATTTGGTTAAAGAATTCCCACTATAATAAGTTATTAATGTTAAATAAATAATCTATATGAGGGTTATTATCATAATCCCTACTTCTTGTTTCACATATATTGTACTAAAATAATTTTAATCTTACTTATTCATATGCAACATATTCTGGAAAAACGGTTTCGTGACATTAAAATGGACGTTGCACCTTCTTTTAATAAATCACCATTTTGACTTAATTGATTGTCCTTCAGGAGCATCTGTAAAATTCTATTAATTTTTTTTGCATATCTCTCTTTTTTCCAACACGCGGCAACAGTTGCAATGTTATTGTGTGGACCTACACTTCAACGGCTATGTCAATTGCTATGTAAGTCGTATGTGTGATTAATTATTATTATTATTATTATTAATAATTCCTGCTTATATACAGTATATTTGTGTATGTTCATGTAGGCTATATTTAACAATGACTCTGAGCTTATGATATATTATTTGACTAGGGTACTAAAACTAGCGTATCTCAGTGAGGTAGATTTTCACATACGTGTCTCTCCAACATTATCATACTGAGGATATATAATCATTTGATTTACTTCACTAGGTGGTGGTTGGTTTAGAATACAATTATTCATATTTGCATATTATATAGTGATTCCCATTATGTATCACTTTATAGTCACATTGTTATATTGTCATAGTCATATTTAAATTGTTTACTTCTAATTCATGTAGCACCTTGTCTCAAAACTATATTTTCTGTGTGTATGGCGCTTTTCAGTAAAACAATGTATTTCATTTTCAATCCTTTGAAGCATAATCCACAAAGCCTCTTATTCAATAAAGAACGGATTATCGCCCGTGTATATGTGGTAAAATATATACAGTACATGTATATCAGTTCAAACCATTTGAACACAATGCAGATTAAATTTTATCCAAGGTGAATTTATTTGACTTGCTAAATGTGTATATAATTAACATAGTGCATTGATTTTTGCGAGCTGACTTTTGGTTTATGAGGGTGTGTGTACTATCACAACATTTTAATGACTTTATTATTGAGAAAAATACAATTGTTATATGTTGCATCATATACCATTAGATTTTGGTAAATGTATTATTCAGTCTTTATATTATGGCGCATGGAGTGTTTCTAAGTTAGTTGTAGTTACTGTATTATTTCTGCGACGTTTAGATATTCCTGTTAAACATTATCATGAATTATTGATGAATGATGATCGAGAAATGACGTATACTCGATTTTGACGATTATTCTTAAAATAACAAGGAATGGAATTTGTTCTGATCTTACTAAAAATACAGTGGTACATTGTCTTATTTGTAAATACATTGAGCATTAATGCATAAGGTATATATTTATGTAGTGTAACGCTTACTTCATAGAGATAGCATGATTAGTTTTGGTAATTTACGAATTTTATGTTATTTAGCATTTGCTTTGCCTAAAAAAATGAAAAAATGAGCTTATGTTGTAGAATTCAAGGACGGATAAAACGAGTACAAGTATACGGAGTAATATGAGTGTAAGTTAAATTTCTTTAAGAGTCAACAAGTTTAGAATTTGTTCTCGTAGTGGAAAACATGGAACATGTCAAAGTCACAAATAGTTCTATTCGATTGGTTAATTTCTCAATAGATTTGTAATTTCGGACATGTGTAAAACACATGCAAACTAAGGATGGACAAGGTCCAAGAATGAGTAATTCAAATAATATTTTATAATGAAAACAAGTCTCTTAGAGATTGCCTAATAAGGAAATGTTAGGCAATCTCTAAGAGACTTGTTTTCATTATAAAATATTATTTGAATTACTCATTCTTGGGCCATATCCATCCTTATTTTGCATGTGTTTTACACATGTCCGTAACTGTGAGCTACTCAGGGGGGCTGGCAACATGTGAATGGAAAGTTCCTTGTAATCACGCAAAGACAATGGAAATAATACGGAGAAATAGAGTATAAATGCTTGTGAAATTGTATGAAAAAAGCAGTCGATGAATAAAAGTTTGAAAGCTCCAGACAGTCGTTATTCTTTACTATAACAGTACTGTAAACTTAATATTTGTATCTAGCTTTTACATTTTTTTGAGAGAGAGAGAGAGAGGAAATAAAGCTGTGTGCCACTTTCATAAATACTTAACTTCTACCGAAGAGATTTTGCTGTCTTCATTGGGGAATGGCATCCGGTATACGTTTTCGACGTTATTTTTTGTAAAGACTGTGCTCAACATAAACACGTCCAAACCTGAAACCTGAAAAGTTTTTTTATATATTTTATCTGTGTGTGTGTGTGTGTGTGTGTGTGCATGTGTGTGTGTGAGTGAAGCACAATTCCTACACAGGCGAGGGTTTGGAAAAGCCTAGATCACACGGGTGCCGTGCGATGAAATTGCCCGTGCGAATTTTTCATCATAAGGAGCTACGGGCTACGCCGAGTATGCCTACATTACAAGGTCTTAAATCTGTACGATTCCGTGCAATTTTGCACGGCCACTGTCTATCTCAGCTCAGAAACCGTACGAAAAGGGTGATACGGGCAGTATACGCGCACCGTACGCGCATTGCATTTCAAATGTAATCTAGGCTAAAGTGAAGCTCGCCGAGGTTAATGATTTAGATATAATTAGACAATGGAGGAACGGAGGTTGGGGTGGTGGGTCAAATGCCCCCTCTTTAGGTTCGGAGGAGCACATTGTTACGATATTCACCTTAAATGTGAACCAATAGTCAGATAATCTTAATATTTCCATTTTATTATTAAAGCAGACTTCAATACACCCTTCGTTACACAAAACTTGTAGTCCCTTGTTATTCTGCCATAAAATGTCTTGGTTTACTCTTTTGATAAAACACGTTGCTTTAATGAATATAATCTAAAAATAAATATTTGAGCAAAACTGGCAAGAATATCTAAATCCGGCAATTTTTGGCATAAACAATCGTCACTATAACATACCTGCACCTGATAAAATATCCAATGACTTATATTTACATCATAATTTCATATCAATATACAGGTCAATCGACTTTAAAAAAAATTATCATTAAAAATTGATAGTTCTTCAAATTCATCTATCGGAACTTAGAAAACAACGTACTTGGAAATTATTGGACCCATTTAAAAGAAACCAGTCCAAATCCACCTTTTCAATCATTGTTTAAGTATTGAACTTGTTGAGTGAATAATATTACATTATTGGTTCATTGTTTTGGTATGGTGATTCATATATTACTACGCAGGGATATGGTTGGTTGATACTCCATAGTATATGAAATACATTTATTCTGTAATATGGAGGACGATTTCCTGGGAGGATTTCTTTTATTAAAGTATGGGTTGAAAATATCAATGAATAGTGCAGAAATTTCAACTGTCCAAAATATTTAGACATTGTGATTATTGTTGCCACACCCCCAAATCACAATTGACTCTTTGTCACACCTACCACAATTCCCCACCATGACTACTCATGATGTATTGTATTGATTCAATATTATTCTCCAGTGCCGACATAGTACTTTTAATTGCAATAAACCATTAAAGATTGAGTACATCTTTAGAAGATACTGATTATATTGAAGAGAAACCCAAAGTTGGGGAAGCGTCATCCCTTTTCTCGAGCAAGTGTCTTTTGACTGTGCATCACCAGACAGTCGACCGTCTTTCCAGGTTGTAGTTCACTGTTGTGTTTCTTTAAGATGATGATTGATGAGACTGATCTGCACTGCTCCGCTCTGTGTCTCGGCAATTTAAATTCTCTTCCGATAGAATTTATATAATGCTTTATTTTTAATGAGCTTGATGAAATTAATTAGGGTTTTTATATTTTATTCTTTCAGAAAGTAACGTTAAGTGGCTTATCCTCAAGTGGTGCGGTGGTGTTGAGGCTATTGACAGTGGCGGGTGCGGGGGTGTGCCCGGGCCTCTAACAACAATGGGCTACCATCTATGAAAGTTTTTTTAAATATTCCTATGTGCTGGATTACAGTAGGGGTGCTTTAATGTGAAAGGGGTGGATTTGTCTTATTATTAAAACATTTGTGTGTTTCAAAACGTTTCTGTGTATTTTAAACTTTTTAATTCTTAGCCGAAAATGACATTAAGACAGTACTTAAATGTGAGACACAGACATACCAGTCAGAAACGAATTGTCATGTTTTTTTAATCCCAGATATCATTTACGGCACGCACCTAGAGAAAAACAAAAAGTGCTCTTCGTCGCAACTTTTGACGGGTGAAGAAAACGGGTTGTTGTCAGTTACAATCGTTTCCGTTTTCAACTTTAGTACAGGTGTACAAAGTATCTCCCAAACACGTGAACTATACAGATCCTTCTATTTCGGGATTTAAATATCCGAAATACACTCTGCTTTTCATTAACATCAATGTGTAAGGAAATCCTGTCATCTGAGGGTGTAATCACAGATGTTATGACCCAATCCTGTTTTATTTCTTACAGACTCGCGCGACAGCCAAATCACAGCTAGCTTCTAGTTTCTTTTCTCAATAGTGTTTCTAAATAGTGGAAATTTTCACTGATGACGTAATGACCCCGTCACATTAATATTAAATAAGGCTGTATTCCCAGAGCTTTTAGATCCATCTATGCCCGCGAGGAGTCTCACTAGATTACTGTCAGATAATCCGGCTTAAATGTCCGTCCCGCCTACTGCAAGCTGTAAGGGGGTAATTAACTTTCGTGTCCGCCCGGCTGACAGCTATTTAGCGTGAACCCCCAGGAGTTAGGTCTATCTGAAGTAGATCGATCTAATCTCTGGAAATGGGGTCTAAGACTTATTTAATAAGCTATATCCGGTCCCCACTTTTTGGCGTGTAACTTACAAAAAACGCTTTCATGTCATCGCTGTTTAACAGGTGATTCAAGATCGCAGCGTACTTTCCCAGCTCTGTGAAGTTACAGTTCCAAGTGTACTCTTCCCTGGTAATTTTTGTATGTGTTTAAAGTGTCATTTTCCAAACTTTGCGAATATGGAGCAAAATACCATGTATTTTCTAAGCGGAAAGCGTGCACACCAGAGACGATTTCATGTCATCGCTGTTTAACCGCCTACATGTGTCTGAATCGGATCGCAGCGTGTTTCCCCAACTCTGTGAAGGTAAGTGTACTCTTTCCTAATGGTTTTTGTATGTGTTTAATGAAATATTTTTCAAAATTTATGAATATAGGCTAAGGTTAAACACAATGCATAGTCTAAGCGGTAAGCGTGCTCACAAGATCTGCGCAATGTTGAAGTTTGATGTCAATGTACCAATGTTGTTACCCAGTATCGTGGACATGCAGATATGATAGTTCTTAAATTGAATATGAGCATTTTACAATGATATTGTGTGTTGGTTATGCTTTTTTTTTTCATTTCTGACTGTGTAACCATCATTTTTATACTTTGGAAAACTGACTGACAATCTTGGTTGCCCATTTTTTTGTTACTGCCTTCTTTTACCTTTTTTCAACGTAGTGAAGAGCAGCCAAGTAATAATTAGAAAAAGGAAAAATATTTTCTCGTGCATTTTAACAATAATCAACAAGGGCATAAGTATAAATGTAAAACCCACAATGAAAGCGTTAATCATTATAAAATATCTCCTTACCGTGTAAGTTTTCCGAGACAACTTAAGTGGTTTACATGTATGTTTTGGGACAAAGTTAAAAGATCGTCGTGTATGGCCGTGATATTTGTGAAATATACAGAGTAACATTCTAGTTTTTATTCAGTCGATAAAATTCCGCGCAGGTTGGAAACCATGCTTTATTGAATGAACTCAAACTAAGATTTCTACCTGGAACGCACAAGGGTGCTACAAAAATAAGGGACATTGAGAACACGACAAAGATAATAATAAGGACATGAAGGAAACAGGGTGGACTTATATCTGTAGTTTTCTAGGAGAAGAGTGTTTCTTGAACTAAACCCTGTAAATTTATATTTTTGTGGCCTGAGATGCCATATTCGTCATTTTGTGACCTGACCTTTCAAAAAGTGAATCTGCGGTCTTTCCTCATCTTCGGTGTTCTTGGAACACAGGGTTATTCTGCAATTATCTTTTTCAATTTACGCTGTAAAATATCACCCAATAAGCCTGTTAATTTGGTTGCTAAACTACAACTACATGTACCCCCTTCCCCTGAACGTCATACTAGCAGGTTTCCAAATGAATACAGCTGAAAAATTTGGGAACACGTACGATCAAGGCATGATGGACATTCACAGGTGCAGGAACAGAACAGAACCTCTCAGAAACAATTTAGAGCTAAACGACAGAATTTGATCTGAGGACCAGAGTGGAGACGTACGTTTGTATAGGTGCTGAATCGATAACGAATAAACCTAAAACCAGTATTAAGGTATTGAAAGGAAAATATCATTACAGATTAAACTATGTTTGTGCATTTATATACAGTATTATGGCTAAATGCGTCTTCTTTTTAAGCTCCTATTCACTGAATATGATTTGTGGCACATATCTTCTTGTGACAGGCCCACTTAGGGCAATCTGAAATTGATAAATGTTGGTAAAGTTTGACATTAAGAGGCACTTAACAAAAACTGCACTAAATGAACTTAACAGATACCCACAGGAGTCTTTCCTGGGGCAAATTTTCAAACTTTTGGGGATACGTATCCTAAAGGTTTTTTAACCTTTAAATTTTACACAACAATAATGGCTAAGTATTGTGGGCTGATCATAGGTACACGTTATTATGAGGTCTGAAACTGTAATCTTTCCTGACATGCTTATCTCTCTTTTTTTTTAAAAAACAAAAAATGTGTTGTGACTGCCATATATTTTAGCTATCAATTCTGGTCTGTTATGTCGAGATATTTTAATGTGAATGGTGAACATATGTTGTCCATAGTTATTTGAAATAAAGTGAAAGTTTAAATTTGTAGGCTCTCTTTCGTTTATTTCAAAATCTTAATTAATCCGAATAAAGTGAATACTGGGCTATGCGAGTAATTATAAAGAGCGCTAAGTCACGTTAAATACCGGTAACGTAAAAAGAATCCAGAAGTATTTCGTCTACAAAACAACAATTACTATAGTTGGGTAAATGTCTCCAACCAAGGACGTATATTCTATATACGTCCTTGCTCCAACTAAGACGTCGAACTCTTTCTGCAAGATTTTTAGTCCCAGGAACTTGTTTCCGAGGACGTGCTTTCCTAAGAACGGGGGACCTAAGATACGCATTCAAAGGACAAAGAATCCTGGGCCCGGTTGCACCAACGGGGCGTAAATCTACTCGGCTACGACTGTCGTAAACCGCAACGCCTGGCGTCCGTGCGCCAGGTTTACTCTCCCTGCTTACGCCAGTTGCACCAAGACAAAAACTGATCGTCGTAACTACGCCCAAGTAACGCTCCGTTGCGTCACTGGCCAACAATACGTGAATGGTATAATTGGGCAAATGAGGTGATCTCAGCTGCAGTCATTATGGAATGATGACATAAATAAACACAAAAGGAGCATTTCAGAGACGGAGAAATTCATAAGCTACATTATTCCATTTTGATTTAGTAATAAGAACGTTAAAATACGTTAACTTTGCTGTGGCCTTGGATATATAGCAATAAAATCGTAAATATATTCCGAATCAAAATATTATTATAATATGCTATTATAGTATGCTGCTGTTAATGAGAAAAACGCGTTGGAGGCAGTACGTATTTCTATTAATGGATTTGAACACCTTCACATTTGTTATTGAAACTTTTGAATCTGAAAATAACGCAAAAACGCCAACATTGCTCTCTTTTTATATTTTTACAACAGTGCCGACAATTTCATGACCTTCTTATCTATGGTTACACCGTGAGAGATCATTTAATTCAATCGAGCTTACATCTTGGAGATTAAGAAATACAAGAGACCTAATACACATTATATATGAGCCTTAAAAGTTTGATATTTTAAGCTTTCATCTCTATGTTTATATATATAGTCAAATATAAATGATATAAAATGTGAAGAAAGAATGACTATAGTTAGTTATGATTTGTCAAAAATTGTGAAAAGAAAAAGAATTAAAGAAACCGTACTGCTGAGAGCCAAGACGTACCTACATGTGTGGTAAGATTTAATTTGAACATATGCATATACATGTACATGGCTACACATATAATGTATTTAGTAATCATATATATATATATATATTATATGATTACTAAATACATTATATATGTAGCCATATATATATTTTTTTAAACCAAGCTATACAGACGGAAGATTTGAATAAGAAACTAACAAATAACAACCCACATTTTCTACGTTAACAACGATAATTGTCATCAAACTCTCTCTGTGCTTGTCTAGCCATAGTGGAAAACGAGCTACGACCGACTTACACCACCTAGCTGGCAGGCGTAAATTTACGACCGACGTAAACACTATTCTAGTTTGGTGCAACTGGCTTTACTCGGGCGTAGCGATTTGCGCCCGGTTTACGCCGGCGCAACTGCTACGCCTCACTTACGACCGGTTGGTGCAACCGGGCCCTGACCTCTGTTCCCTTCACACTGGGAAGGAGGCGGGTTTGTATTCCTACATGTGTACATTGTATTTGCTTCAGTGTATATTTCTTACGAAATTGTGTTTTATTCTGTCCTATTTTCAATTTTCATTGACAAAAAAGGGACGTGGTTTATTTCTGATAATCGTCTAAACGAAAATCTGACAAAAAAAACTTTGCATATATACTAAGAACGACAAATTATTTTTGACCAAGTTCTATATGTGGTTCGAAACCTAACCCGTATCTGTCTGGGCTGGATCTACGTATGCACAGATGCTGAAACAATATAACTTATTCATGACAAATATACCCAAAAAAAATATTAAGCTAAAAGGAAAATATCATTGCAAGCGCATTTATTTGTGTATTAAAGCTAAATGCGTCTTTTTTAAGCCCCCATTCAGTGACTGTGATTCCTC